CCTCCCTACAATTTCTAGCTATATCAGCAGATATTCTCCACCAAGAAAAGCTTTTTAACCATAATCTAAAAGCGATATCACCATGTAAGAACAGATGACGAGGGCTTGGGCAACTGCAAATGCTCCTCATCATCTCAGTACATTGATTCTTGGTTGCCAGAAACTTTGGAAATTTTCCTCAATCTTTTAGCATTTCATTAATGCAATATGGTTGTGGAACAGACGGCAAAAATGGGGCTTTGGCTACGGACACACAAAAGATTGTTAAGGCCACACAAAAACTATGTAAAAAAGTCTATGGACTGAACTTCTTTCATTGATTGATGAATTTATTGTGAAAATCTGGTACCATAAAATTTGATTTGGATACATCTCTAACACAGGATGTCTCTCTCTCTCTCTCTCTCTCATTGGCTTGTGAAATGCAACAAGAATATTGATTGTCTTCTTAGCCATATTTTAATCTATATAAAAAACTTCCTTGTCACCATTCTTTTTGCTTTTAAAAATCCCCGCAAGAATTCAAATCTTCTTTGTCACCATTCTTTTTGCTTCTAAAATTTCCTAGGGTTCATATTAATTGTTGCAGCACTGAAAGAAGAATCTGACAACCTCATCTCTCATGATACAAAATGATATATAATATGAAAAATGATATAATTACAATATCACGTATAATTATAAATTTATAATATGATTTATCATTATATAATTAATTTTTTTTCGTTCAAGTGTTTGTGATATTATATGTATTTACTTATTTAATGATACGTCATGATTATAAATTTATAATTTTATGTAATATAATAACTATAACATTGACTATTAACTATGTGGTGTTTATTTGTGATATTATATGTATTTACTTATTTAATGATACGTTATGATTATAAATTTATAATTTTATGTAATATAATAACTATAACATTGACCATTAACTATGTAATCTAATAATATAGTTACATGTGTTCTTAACTGTTTAAGGTTCAATTCTTAATTTCTATATACCAAATAATAATAACAATAATAATATTAATAAGTATAGCATTGCCACACATAATCTTGTTTGGATATTTTCTTTTTAATTTGAATGACAATCCTACCCTTTGGGGGTATACGTGTTAATGTTCTCCCTTCATTTGAAATATAGAAATTTAACTCAATGAGATAGTGAAGTTTGTTATCATGGGTGACGTGTAGGCATTACTAATCTACTATTGATGTGCTTGTCGCTAGCTTATAAGAGTAAGCAGGATGCATACACATACAGTGGGGTGTGCTTGTAGGTTTGAGGGAAGACAATAGAGGGAAAAGGAATGGCTGCTACCATCTCCTCCACCTTCCTCTCCGCTTCTCTACTTCTCCTCTGCCTTCTCTCTGCCTCGAGGAAGGGCTGTGTCGCCTTTGAGCAACAAGAATTAGCAGCTGAGACCCACCACCATACTCTCCTCGTCAGCTCTCTTCTTCCTTCATCTGTCTGCAATTCTTCAAAAGGTTAATTCCCTTCCTTTCTTTACTTCCTCAATTGATTAAGTGCTTTCTATGGTGTTATGGCTATTAGTAGAATAATTAGGGATATTTTTTTCGCCTGAATAACTAATTATGATGTTTATAATTCTATTGCGCTCTTGATATGATTGATGATAAAGCTAAATATAGCCATAATCCCTGCTTCATGACTGCGGATTGGCCTTTTGGGGATTGTTTCTACAGGCAAAAGGTGAAGCTAAAATCATTACTCATCCACTAAGTGAAAGAAGTATCCATTGTTTGAGAATCTATACATGCCACTCTCCTATCACTTTCAGCCCTAAAAAGACCCAACAAACTTAATTTACCTCATGCAATTGTTAAACCCATATGTTTCATATCTCTAAACCCCACTTGATATAATTCAAATTTGCATATGTTTTTAAAGGAACATGGTATATTTAGTTATGTTGTACACCTCTTAATTTGATGAATGATATTTAACAGAAAAAAGAAACAATTTTTTTCTCATGAATGATATTCTCTTTTTCTATCAAAAAATTGATAGTTAGTGAATAAAGGTAGTATTGTGGATATCTTAATCATTGAGAAGAAGACTAAGCAGAGTTCGGTACAATATTTCTTTTTTATTCTTAATTAATGTAAAATACACATCCACGGTCTTCTTCCTTTTCCAATCTTCTAGTTACTTTCATGATTCCAACTCAAAAGTAGAATAAGTAATAAGGAGCTTGATTTTTTTGTTTTAGCAAAACAAAGTACCGAATAAAATTAATAAGACTCCGTTGCGTGATTGTTGGATTTCAAATTGGGAAATTTCTATCTCTACCACAAAAAAAAAATTTTTTTTTTCATTTTTTTGAATAAATGGAAATGTGGAGATTGGGGAAAATATAAAAATAAAGAAAAACAAAGAAAACATTAAATGGTTCTTTTCATTTTAAATCAAGCACCTAATATCCATTTAGAATTATTTAATTAACATGCATTTCTAAGACGAAGTTGTTTAAGAATCTTTGTAATCCACTCTCTCTAGCTTGATTAAGCATATTTAAAATAAAAAAATATTATAATTTGAACTATACTAAATTATATAACACTTATTATTAAATAAGAGTTGTGTATTTTGATATTGGAAGCATTTTTCTTTAATAAATTATATTTTACAATTTAATGTAATTTAAATCATAAAATATTTTTTTTAAGATAAATATAAATTAAATCCATTGAATGCATTATATTACTTTTATGGTATTAACTAATATATTAATTTCTGTACATTTCAGCTGCGGACAAAAAGTCGTCATCTTTGACAGTAATCCACAAGCATGGCCCATGCTCTCAACTCACTTCGGATGCTCCAACCCACGCCGAGGTCCTCCTCCATGACCAAGCTCGGGTCAACTCAATTCACTCAAGACTCGCCAAGACCCTCAACAACGTGAAAGAGACAGCCGCCAGCAGCATTCCGGCCAAGGACGGAAGTATTTTGGGATCGGGCAATTACATCGTCACGGTGGGTCTCGGCACCCCAAAAAAGGACCTTTCCCTAAT